GCGCACAGCACGGAGGCGCAGCCCGGAGGGGGGCGGGGAACAGTTAGCCGTAGGGCCTCATGATACTCTTTCTTCAATTGAGCAGTGATTTGGTTAAAAAAAAAAACAAAAACAGTTAGCCGTAGGGCCTCGCCACACAGACTTTTTTTTTTTTTTTTTTTTGAAAAAATCTCATCCTTGCACATTACCAAAGGGCGAGGCCGGGGACCTCACAATTCAACCCGGAGTTATCCCGGCAGCATCAGCCGGTTTAGCTTTTGAAACCCACATTCAACCAAACTCAATTATCCCCTGCTACTTCTTACCGATCCTATGCTTTCCCACCTTCCTATATCTTCTACTCTACCTTTCTGTAAACTAACCATTCCCCTCACCTATTCCTACTATATTGCCGAAGAAAACCTCCCTCCCCGGTCTCACTCATAGAGGCCCAATACGGCCTCCCCGAACCTAATGCGGTTCAATATAAACAAAACTGCCTCTCTATAAGACCCTAATACTACAGGAATCTGCCCCCTTCTTCGAGGCTGAAAACCGAGAAGCCAAGTAAGCTACACAGACTTTCGAAACATGCAAAAGACAAAAATGTTGCGAGTGAATCTAGTCGTTTTTCTAGCAAAAAGTACATTCTCTTTTTGCACGTTTCGAAAGCCTGTGTGGTGAGGCCCGTAGACGTGCCTCAATCGACGTCGACGGCGGCGGTGCACAAAACAGAAAAAAAAGAAAAGAAAACGAAAAAATGGCCAACCCTGCGACCCTCAGACTTTCGAAACATGCAAAGACAAAAATGTTGTAAGTGAAAAAAAAGAAAAAGAAAACGAAAAAATGGCCAACCCTGCGACCCTCCCAGACCCCCGCCTTTTCTTTTCTTCTTCATCCTTCGGATTTCCCAAAACAGAAATGTCGGGCGCCGGCCACAAACATCTTCGCACGACCTCTGCTGGCTACCGCTGGTAGTCCAACTTCAACCTATGTGACGACCGCCCCGGCTACCGGTCGGTTTTATGACAACGACCACACCCTTGTGCTGCAGGTTGCAGCCCCCTCTACGCCCCTCTAAGCTCCTAAAACGGTCGTCGACATTTCCCCATCAGGAAACCCGCTTCTGCAAAAAACGCAACCGGGTATAGCGCAGCCTCCTGGCTGCGAACACTCCACATACATCGGTAGTGGGATCTCGCTCCTGTTTCCATTCCATTTAAAAAAGCTTCTTCTCTCCTAACGTTATACAGAGGACCCCTGCAAGGATAACTATCTACGTGAAGGGAGGATTCCTCTGTTGGTGGAGGGAGGTAATTGCATGTTTGCCCCTTGCCCTAGGTAGTGAAATAGGGTGCAGGGTTGGGATAGCTATCNCTATCTACCTGAAGGGAGGATTCCTCTGTTGGTGGAGGGAGGTAATTGCATGTTTGCCCCTTGCCCTAGGTAGTGAAATAGGGTGCAGGGTTGGGTCCACCAGTGGGGGCTCGGCTACAAGGACTGGGCATTTGTTAGTAGCTGCGCCTCCCTTTTTTTTTTTTTTTTTTGTTCTTTAGAGTCTAACACGACCCTATCGAGCAGCTGTTCTTCTTCAGACCTGGGAGCCATGGCCCTGTCACGAGCTTTGTCTCTTCCCAAATCTTTGCCAACCTGTTATTTATTGCCCATGTCTGTCTTCCTAAATCGCAAGCTCCCTTTTCTCTACCAGTCGATGCGGATTGCGCCTCCCTTTTTTTTTTTTTCTATATTCTTCTCTCAACTTCTGTTTTTGCCTTTCACTACCTACTCCTAAGGGGTGGACCCCACAGGCTCGCGGAAAGGCAGACAGTCTGTCCGTGCAGGACGGGGTTCGTCCACCGCGCACGGAGGTTTCCAGGAACACGGGACCCCACCGCACCACGGGATTTTCGTGTCCACAGACGACCTGCTTGCCCAAACAGGAAAACGCATTCGGCCTTTCCCGAAATGGGAAGTTTACGGTGGCCGCCGTCATTGAACGGGTTTGGTTTTTGGTCCACCGGATGTCCATGTGCGGGACAAGCGCAGTATGGTGTGACGGGAATATGAGGTGTGGGCGACAAACGAACGAGTCCCAACAACAGGACCTGGCTCCCACGGAACCTCACGGCCGCTGGAGAGTGTCGTCAACCGTTTGGGTTCGGGTCGGGGACCACTGACCGTTGGTGCTCCCTCCGCCATTGCAACGCCATTGCCAGTCGCGTCGCGGAACGCGTCATCGCCATTTGCGTTCAGCGCTTGAAAGTGCTTGATCGTGTGGCCATGGAAGCGGGTTTCGGTGATGGAGATGGGGACATGCCCGACACGTACGCGGCAATGGAACTCGACAGCGGGTCTGGCAGCGGTGCTGCCGGCGCATGCTCGGATGCGAGTGTGGAGTGGGAGGACATGCTGTTCATGTTGGTTTTCGTCATCATCCAGTGGATGAAGCAAAGGAACGAGGCGGCTATGACCGTTATCGAGGCAGCAGCATCATTGCCTATGTGGGATCCTGGAATGCCTGTCGTTTTAGCACTGTCGACGTATGGTGTTGGTCACAACCTTCATCTCCTCCATGCGGCCTTGAGTGCCATTCACGAGAGAGGCGAGAGTAGTGGTAGGATTTGGGTACTTGATCGCAGCGGTGGTGTGTGGAAGGATCTCCAACGTGTGGGTAGGAGACACGACAAGATCTTCAAAAGGTTTTGTAGGCTCCCTTGTCCAGTGTTTGAGGACGTCTTGCGCCGAATAGCACCTCATATTCAGCGGGCGACAACGAATTGGAGGCAGCCGCTGCCTGCGGAACAGAAATTTGCATGTGCGCTGATCAAATGGGCCACTGGCGGTTTCTACAGACAGTCTGCTCATGGGTTGGGCATGGGACTGGCCAGTGCACTGCGGAGCAACGAAGACGTGGCCGACGCAATCATCAGGGAATACGGTGATGTCATCTCCTTCCCGCGGGGTCGCCGTCTGCAAAAGACATTGGATGCATTTGAACGGAAGGGTTTTCCAGGCTGTGTGGGTGCAATAGATTGCACTCACCTTTACGTTGAAAAGCCAAGGAAGGAGCGTGGCGAGTGCTACTACGACAGGACGGGACAGTTTCTGGTCATCGCGCAGGTGGTCTGCGACCACGAATGCAGGATTTTGGATGTGTACGTCAGCTGCCCGGGCTCCAACCACGACTCTCGGGTGTTGCGCTTATCTCCTTTATACTTCGACGCTCAAAACGGTTTAGGAGTGTTCAGTGTCGGTGCACACATGCTCACTGAGGGGACAAGAATTGGCCGGTATGTACTGGGGGATGCAGGCTTTCCTTGTTTGTCGTGGTTGATCACGCCAGTTCCTGCTCGTGGTTGTACCGCAGACGGTGTCACCTTCAACGAATCGCACTCCGCTGCAAGGAGCGTCATCGAGCGAACGTTCGGGATTCTAAAGGCGGTGTGGCAAAATTTTATCCGTCGACAGATTGGCAACTTAAAGACGTTGTGCAAAGAGTTCATGGCCATGTGTATATTGCACAATATTCTTCAGGACCACAATGTGGACGTCGACGAGCTGTGCGCCTCCGATGGTGATGACTCCGACGACGACAGCCCTCCGCCACGTCCCCCGCCACCAAGGAGCCCGGCTGCGCGACGACGACCACGGCAGACCTTTCACGATTCAACGGATGAGTCGTACGGCAGCGAGGAGGGGGCGGAGTGTAGGTCAAGGTTGGTGACGCATGTCGTCCATCATGTTCGAGTGCATGGTGCGCCACAACGAGCTCCTTGGCGTCGAGTGGGTGCACAAGTACAGGCATAGGTTGATAGGAGGTCCGCTGTGCACAGGTGTGATATGTGTGTGTGTGTGTGTGTGTGTGTGTGTGTGTGTGTGTGTGTGTGTGTGTGTGTGTGTGTGTGTGTGT